TTCTTACTAGGCTCCATCTTCATTTTTGGTCAGTCTGTTTGAACACCCAATGAAAAAAGAACAGAACTGTCTTGCTTACATTCAACATGAACAAAGTGGGAAGGCACATATTGTATTATTATACTCGTTTTTGCCAGTTTTAGCTGCCTGTTTAAACCAACAGAAGAGAGCCATTAGAAAACCTCAAATACAGATGCAGTCTACTGTTTTGAGAGGTTCACCAGTTTTTGGCAGCTCCAAGATAGATACCGTACTTCACCAAGATACCACTGTTTTACTATAATCTGCATTTTTGTTTCCACAGCAAAGATCACACAGGCCACACAAATTAACATACTGCAGAGGAAGGGGAGGTGATGCAGAAATCACGACCTTCCTATCTTCCTTTATCAGCAGCCAGAGGGGAGGCCATACCTTGGGATTTCAGAGTTACATAAAAGAACACAGAATTTTCCTCCTGAACGATCAGCAGTCGGTTATTAGCTGCTGTATGCACTGAAATGACTCACAGAAAGTTTGTCGCCCTCCCACCTGCCTTCCAGAACTTTGTTTTGAAAGATCAATTTGAGAAGGTGCAGATTAAGTTCTCTTAATCACCACCAAGAAACAACTTGTCCCTCCTGATATTGTTACAGAACATTATGGCCACCCACCCCCCCCCCTTTTTTTTTTTTAAATAGAAAATAGAACCATCAACTGTTTAAGCAACAATATACTTTTGTATATTTTGCTTCATTTACTGCCATAAACATAACAGCACATGGTAAAGTCACAGACCACTATAATCGGTATTTTAGTACCCTTTAATTAAATAAATAATAGATTTCTAGAGCTCATCATGGTCCCAGTGCTATTAAAGCAGTATTTTGGGAGTAATATGCTGCCACCCACAAAATAAAGCTTATGGCAACTTGAGCTCTACCTCAAATATGAGGCAGAACTAGAATGTACCTTTTTGGATGATAACTGGCTGTCAGCAGTAAGACTTGTCAGAATACTATCAGTTGTTTTTAAACCGAGTTGCAGACAATGTTAGTTATTTCCTTAATTCCATCAGTATTAGCAAAGGTCGCTCAGAAATATTTTTTTGGAGACTTAATGTGCAGATTAGCTTAGAAATTGGCAATTTTATGTTGCACAGAAAGCATTTTTGTTAGCAAAAGTACACATCATTCTCCTCTACCCAAGACAGCATCTAGAAATAGCATTACTTTTAGTCACTACTTTTCTTACGTCCTGTGGTATTGTAAATCCTCCAGGAATTCTAGAGCCATCTAAAGTTTTTGGGTTTTTTTTTTTCCTGCAAGGAGGGAGGTTGTTACTGTATTGTTTAATAATAGATTTAAAAGCCTACAACAAGATCACACAGTTAAGAAACAGCATACCATTTCATAAAAGTAGATCTCCTCCTACCCAGCTCTGAAGTATAAGATGGAAGTTCTTTGAACTTCTCTGCCAAAAAGCTATCATAAGGGCTGACAGGAGTTATGAAAGAACCATCCTGTTTTAAACTTAATTCCAAAAGGAATGTACTTACAGTGATTCAGCCACCAGAGAAGTTACAAACGCTGCTGTTTCCATTATTTTGGAAATTACAATAGCCATCCCATGTACAATGATATACGGCAAACCCAGTAAGGAATTATTAATTATCTTTGAATTACAGATGAATAAACAGAAGCAGAGAAATAAAGTGACTGGACTGGAGTTATTGCTTAGACAAAAGTAAGCATCAAGCAGGTGACATGGCCTCAGGTTTAGACATGTGGTCACAGTGAAAACTAATTAGCAATTTGGCATAAGTTGATGCTCCTTCCTACCCCTTTTCAATGTCAAAAGTCGACTTTTGACTCGAGAAAAAAAAAAAAAAGGAGCTAAAAAAAAACCCCCAAAACCAAAAGAGCTCAAAACCAAAGTTCTACATGGAAACTAATCAGTTAGGGGTATTTACCTTGCAAGAAAAAAAAAACCACACATTGAACTAAACTAAAAACCTCGTCTGTTCAAGGAAAAGGAGGATTCTGTTCACAAAGTAAATAAAAGGTCAAGCATTAAATGTAAATCCCCCCCCTAATTTTTTAAATGTTCAGAAAAAAAAAAAGTCTGCTGTAATAACCAAGTACCCTGGGATTCCCAGTAACACATTATTCATTTCAAAATGAAAGAGCAGCATGAAAATTATTTGAAGACAGCAAGAAAGTATTCTAATGCAAAATCCTATCAAAGCTGGTAACTTTTCACACCTCTGGCTTACCACCAAGATGATACTCATCTACCAGAGAAACAACTACCTCTATACAGTATTTTACTGCAGTCCTGAGCCACGCTGCGCATACAGAATCTGAAAAAAAATTTAGAAAGCAAATGTCCTTGTACAAGTTTCACATAAGGCCATGTATACTAATCTTTTTTAAAAGAAAAAGTATACCAAAAGCCTTCTCACAAGGCATTCAATTTTGACAGCCTCATATTTTAGTGAGACAGAGGAAAAAAAAACAACCACACAGCATTCTAGTTTCTTTTCTACAAAACCCCCAGGCAACATCTCCTGCAAATACTATTTATTTTAAAATTCCAAGTTCATGTAGTGATATTTGTCTCTGATCAGATAATCACCAACACAGCTTCAACATTTTTTTCCTCTTAGGACATTAGCTGGATTCAACAATTAAGTGAAAGCTCCTTTAAAGGCAAGAGGCAGCCAATCAAGAGAGACAATCGTGATTTGCACACCGAGGATTCACAGGGCAAGAAATAAATTAAGACAAAGGTGAGCTGAGACCACCATTTTCAGCAGTAAGGTTTGTAACTCCGGACCATCGCAGTTGCGCCACAGGAAGTACCTGCTGGGCGCAAGAGAGCAGAGGAATTGAAAGTGAGACTTCACACACCACATTTGCATTCATCTCAAACCAACGAGGAATCACATTTAAAGTTCTCTTGCTACAGTTCAAAATAAAGAAGCAAAGAAGGCCTCAAACTACTCTCTAATCCCCCTGGAACCAAAGAGGGGTGGTGACCAGACCACGATTCAGTTGCAGGCAGCTTTCCCAAGGCCAACAGCAAGGTTTAATTCATCCTAAGGATACCCTAAAATACTTGCAGCTTTTTTTTCTTTTTTTGGATAGGAGAAGCTATATGCACACAGAGGGGAAATAATATTAACTGTTTCATATCCTAAAATCTGCATGGCTTTCCAAATGCATCATAACCTAACCGTAAGATCCTCACTTTCCTGTCCTGGATACTGACTAGAGGCCATATATTGGGATATCTGATTATTATCTTTTTTTAAAATATATTTATCTTGATCGCACCCACACACGGCAAAGAGAACACGAGCACTTTCATTTTAAAGAACCCCAACCAGAGGAAATCAAGCTGCTCAAGTTAAGTCCGTGAAAAAGCATCTTAAAACATCTTTAAAAGCATCTAAACATGTCTTAAATCCAAACCACAGGAAAAGATTGCTATTGTTTAAATTCAATTTGGTTATTTACGTCTCAAGTGGTTTTTTAACTTAAAAAAAAAGAAAAAAGCATAAAAACTTCATCCTAGTCAAAACGGAGTCAGCTCTCACTTTAGCAGGTAACACGAAAACTCAGCTTTTCAGCAGCAAAACCCCTCAGAGCTGGAAAGGGGAGAGTATTTCACTGGGGCCGGACTCCATCCCCCTCTGCCTCCAGGAAAACACCACTGCTGTAATTTCACACACACCACCACCACCCCCCCCACACACACACAGACGAGTTTCTCATGACGTTAATTATTTCGCAGCCAGGCATAAGGGGTCCAAAGCCCGTGAGCAGCGGCAGCGCTGCCGTGTCGAAGCGAGAAAAAGGTGCTTTGTTGGGCACCACATCCCACCTCCCGGCTCGGCTGAAGCTCCAGCCCCCCCCAACCCCTTCTTTCCAAAGGAAGGCGAAGTTTCTACCATCGTACACAGACGAGGCTTTTCCCTACTGTTATATTCTCCCTTAAACGCCGGAATACAGTAAAAATTTAAGGTAGTTTGCAGCCGCTCGGCCTGCCCCCCCCCGCTCCACCAGCGCCCGTCGGGCCTGCCCCCGCCGCCTCCCCTCAGCCTCCCGCCGGCCCGGGCGCGGCCCTACCCCCCCC